AGCTTTAACACTTCACTTGATCATCAACTTTACAGATGCCTATCATAAAGACTGTAATATATTATTACACTTTAAACCCTTGCTCAGTCTGTGTTGTATGTATCTTCCAATAAATAAAGAGTTCACAGGGGATGAAAACTTATTCCAGCTATCAAGCATATGCACTGATCATTTAGATTCAACTATAGTAGTTCATGGTTTTTTGCCTAGCTTTATCCAGAATCATATATAAGCATTTAACAAGATGGGTAGTCCCTCAGATGTCTTTGCTCATTTTCAGAAAGCCTACTCCTATTCAAATGTTCCAGAGGGTGGAATCTTTTTTGGGGAAGTGCTGGTTTCTGTTGCTAATGGCTCATAGGAGTGATTTTGGTAAAATAAAATTAAAAAAAAAAAAAAAAAAAAAAAAAAGGAAAAATAAATCACCATGTAATAAAATAAATACACACATGCTACAAGGTTCTGATGTATATGAAAGGACAATGGAATACAGTACCAGTCATCAAACCTGTTCATATAATTTTTTTCCATTACTTTATGCAACTGTTGCTAGGCAGTCATGTGCCATGGTGATGAGTGGAGTGTGAATACTTAGATTAGAGAGACATATGTTACTGAACATGTTATGTATGGTGTGATTTCTCTCTAGGCTGCTGTACAAAACCAAGATACCAACTATCCCTTTTCCCCAAGAGGACCACAATGTCAGATGGTTCAAAGAAATAGTTCAAGGGGTCTGACCTTGTGGCAATATAGGTATCACTTTCTGCTCTTAGTTACACAATTCTCTCTAGTGAGTTAAAACAGAGTGCACGCACTACTGCATTTTAAATAAAGGTTTAAATTAAAAGAATATATTTTTTTTGTTAAATCAGCACTTTTTATAATGTTTTTTCAATGCATATAATCTACTTACTGGGCCAGTTGGTAAAGCCTGCTATATTCTTTACAGAACCAAACAGAAATATAGAATATAGAAATGTAGAAAGATCTATATTGGAAAAGTAATTCATTCAGTTACGAACACTGAACTATCCTATAATAAACTTGTAAGAATATCTTAAGAAGGCAGTTCAAGTAGCTGTACAGGGAAAATATTAAGAGAACAAAAGTATTATAAATCCTTTTCTAAATAAATGCCCTTCACTCTCCAAACATTCAATATTAAATTATTGCTTTCTGATCAGTAATGTGTTTTAACATAATCAATAAAAACAGTGGCTATAAAGGGCATGAGAAAGGCACAACATGGGTTTACAGAATCATGAAACTTGGCAAGAACAACAGCAGGAAAAGTCAAAGTATAACAATAAGAGGTGAAGATACAGTTAGTAAGTGCATGGGTAAGAGACAAAGACTTGGTCAGTAACACTTTAGGGGAACTTAAAATAAGAGAAGACAAAAGAAAAAACTTGCACCATAATCAAGAAAACAGACAACCAAGACACCATCCATGCTTTTCATGCTAGACAGGAAGAAATGTGTAAACTATTGTAAAGGAGGAATCAGAAACTTCTGTTAATAATCTAAATATTGAAAGGAAAGGGAAACTAGAGGGAAAGTTTGAGAACAGCTCAAGCAGGAACCTCTGCAGCTGAAATAAGTCAAATTTTTGTATGTGCCAGAGCAGGTTCTATTACTTTGCTCCAACTGTTCAGTAATAAAGTCAGATGTGATTTTCGTCGCACTTCACTACAGATTGGAGCAGGACACCCACAATGAAGTTTCAGCAAGACAGCTGGTGGTGCAAAGCTGAGCAAATGAGAAAAGTCTGAGTGGGAGACAGGAGATTGGAACTAATAGCTGAATAAATTAGACGTCCAATACCTTCATTTACTCAAACGATTTCATCATGAAATAAATGCATATCCTGTGTTTACTTCAATGTGTAATATGAAATTCAAATCTGCTTTTACATATGTATGCAATCAGTCTTAAATGCAGCTGTATTTCTTGTCTTAAAAGTCCTAAATTTCACACTTACAGAGTACCCGCTTCAAAAACCAGTAGTTATTCACAGAATTTCCAAATACTTTGAGATCTTCTTCCATAAACGTTCTCTCAAAATCCATTTAATTTGAACAAACCAAAGTTATTGACCATTTCTATGGGAAATATGAAGTTTTTAAAGGAAGACAAACTTGAAGCTCCAAGAGACTCCAGGAGCACACTATAAACATGTCCTGGGTTGAGTGAGTGGTGGAGTTTTTTGATGGCAGGGGAGGGGGCTATTGGGGCAGCCCCAGTAAGAAGCTTCTTGAAGCTCCCCCAGCTCCAAGTCAGCTCCACTTTTGTTTGGAAAATTGAGCCAATCAGCTGCGCCTCTGCGATAACGTATTTAAGAAGGGACGTGGTGACGGGCAGTCGGGCTTGGGAGGAGGAGTTGCTGCAGCTGCATGAACACCAAGGTCAGTGGAGGAACGGAGGAAGAAAGGAGGGGGGAGGTGTGCCGGAGCAGAGACCCCCCTGTATCCTGTGGTGAGACGGCAGGGCGGCCCCCCCTCTGCCACCCATGAAGATCTACGGTGGAGCAGACATTGATTTACAGCCTGTGGCTTCTGCTTGCCTGATCAAGGTTCTGTGCCCAAAGAAGGACGGGGTCTCGTGGAAAAAGGTAGCCCCGCTGCTATAATTCAGTGCTGGGAGGATTGCAGCATGCAGGGGAGTCCCACGCCGGAGCAGCTCGGGAAGGGCTGCAGCCGTGGGAGAGAATCCAGTTGGAGGAAGTTAGTGACCCATGACGGAGCAGTGTGGGGAACGCTGCGGCCCATGGGAGGAATTCATGTCGGAGAAAGTTTGTGGAGGACTGTCTCCTGTGAGAGGGAGACCACGATGGAGCAGGAGGAACAAGTTCCGGACACTCCCCTCACCGAAGATGAAGAAAGTGGCAGCACTGACTGCACCCCCCATTCCCTGCCCCTGCGCCACTGGGGGAGGAGGTAGAGATATTGGGAGCAGAACTGAGCCCGGGAAGAAGGGAGGGGTGGGGGGAAGGTGTTCTCAAGATGTGGCAATGCTTCTCACTGTCCTACTCTGTTATGTGTTGTTAGTGTCTGTAATAAATGTATGTTCTTTTTTTTCTTCCCCTAATGAGTCTGCCTTTTGCTCGTGATCATAAAGGGGAATTTTTCCCCATCCCAGTCCTATCTTGAACCCCAAGCCTGGCTCTCTGTCCCTTCTCATTGCCAGAGGGGAAGGGAGAGAGAGCTGCTGCATTGTGGTTGGCTGCCAACCAGGCCTAAACCACGACAAAACATCTCAGCATCCACCACAAATAAATGTATTAAATTTTGATCTAAAACTATTCCGTCAGAGCTTGATGGTGAAGTTTTCTTATGAAAGTTCCTCTTTTGAGTTTAACATCAAAGCATCACATTTCTTGTCCACTACACACAAATATATCTTTTTTACCCCAAACTGTCCAGAATTACATACTTTATAACCTTTCCTCATATAGGCCCTCGTATAACTTTGAGCACCTGGTTAGTTGCAGATGCTCTGAAATTTCTGCACATGGATGTTCAAGTCACTCCTTTTCCAGTCCAAGCATTAGTGCCAACTATCTCAACCCTGAATTTCCTTAAACTCAAACAAGAGAGTACAATCCTAAACGATGCAATGTGCTATCAGCAGTTCCTGTGATTAGTCTTTCAGGTTTAAATTTGCCACTTTAACAACAAATCAATAAATAGTATGCTTGCTGGATGCGAAAATCCTGCTGTTTGTTACCAGGTACCCACTAATAAACATGAACACTGGAAAGAAACCTAACTGCCAGAAGTGGTCTTAAATCACTATGGTACTGAGCAAACGTTGCCCAGAGAGGCTGTAAAGTCTGCATCCTTGGGTATATTCAAAACTGGCTATGAGCAACCTGCTTTAGGTGACCCTGCTTTGAGCAGAGGGTTGGACTACATGATCTCCAGAGGACTCTTTCAGCCTCAGCAATTCTCTGAGTCAATTTTAAATGTAGGGATATTATCTGTCAGGTTCAAAACACAGTAGCAGTCTGTACTTCTTCCTATCAGCATCTCCGATCAGATAAACTAATACAAAAACAAGACAAAAATTAACTTCCCAAATACCCCTTCTGGCTATTTATCAGTAGTTAGTCTTCAATATCAGGTCTGCTATGCTTGGATTTCTATATATTGATAAATGTGATGGTACTAAAAACAAACCCAAACTACACTGCAAATTTAAAACTAGCGTATCAGGATGTATGAGAAGCTGTTCAAGCAACAAGAAGAGATCAGACATTCACATGAAGTCTTATTCGCATGCAGAGCAAGTAAAGGATATTGTATAAGCACATAAATCAAGCTACCAATCAAGCAAACATCAGGTTAAAATAAGTTCATTTGAAGTCCTATTCCTTTCTATGCCATTTCTATGTTATGTAATTACATCAAGAATGGTGATCAAGGTTAGTAATAGTCCACAGAGTTCTCTTTCTTAGCATCTCACAAGAATTAAATAACCTGAGTATCACCAAGTCAAAATTCATGACTCAGGCTTTCAGCTAATGAACACTCACAGAGTTACAAATCAAATCCACCCCACATCCTTTTCCAAAGCACACACCGGGGCTATGAAGAGTCATTTTCATATTTGCTTAGTTAGTTCTTATAGCAGCAATTTTTACTTATTTATAAACATATTAGCACATGACTATTGTGGTCAGATTATAAATGTAGCCAGTGAGTGCCTAAAAATAAAGCAAAAGAACAAAAAAGTCACATTGGGGTTCCTCTTTTTATATGAAGAGATGAGAACACACTTCTAAACACTGCACAAACAGAACCATTACCTTACCCTTTCCCCAATTTCACACCCTTTTACCTGTAAGCAGTTTTCCCAAATAGCATGATTTTTTTCACTGAACTTAAGGCCTCTAAGTGATCATGATGACACACTGTAACACAGCTGATGTGTCAGCATAAGGAATGTAAACTTAATTTTGTGCTCTGGTAGCCAACATCAGTTTAAAAACTACTCACCTCTGTTATATGAGGATTAGGATTGAATCCACACAGGCTGCAGACTACAGTATGACACTGTGTGCATGTGTTATAATTGGCCTTTTCTGGAGCGTGCAGCAGCAGCTCGGTGGTCGTGCAAAGAGGACAGAAGGTTTTCTTTGGGGTGGACTCAGTGGGTTGGGTTGCACCAGCTTGCTTTTGCTGTGAGGGTTTTTCAGGCCCTGGTTGCTGGCCTGGTGGTTTTGTAAGTCCTGGTTGTTGTGCCAGGGGCTTTGTGGTCCCTGCAGCCTGAGAAGATGGTTTTGTAGGCCCTGCCTGTGGTGGTCCTTGTTTTACAAGCCCTGTTTGCTGCGGAGGTGGCTTCCCAGGTCCCAGCTGCAGGGGCTGTTTTACAGGTCCTGTTTGCTGAGCAGATGGCTTTTCAGGTCCAGATTGCTGAGGAGGCTGTTTTGGAGGCCCTGCTTGCTGGGAAGATGGCTTTACAGGACCTCCTTGCCGTGCCGACTGTTGAGATGGTTGTTTTACAGGTCCTGGTTGCTGCAAGGATGGCTTTGTGGGAGGTGGTGCTTGGGATGGCATTCTAGCATTGTCTGGTTGTTGTGGTGATGGTTTTGTTGGGCCCGATGAAGGTTTTGCAGAAGTTTGTTGCTGAACAGGCTTTGTTGGTTCTGACTGTTGGGGCTGAGATTTTTGCGGTCCTCTTGGCTGGGGCAGTTGTTTCGCTTGTTCTAGCTTAGAGTCTGCCAGGTGACCAGGGCCTGGTTTCTGAACTTGCTTTGGTTCCCCAGGCTGCTGGTGCTGAGGCACCGGTTTGGAAGATTCAGTTTGCTGGCTGGTCGGTCTGACAGGTCCTTGTTGTTGAGCAGCTGGCTTCGGAGTCTGTTGTTGAACTGGGTGCTTTGCAAGCCCCTTCTGCTCCTCAGGTTTCCCTTGCTCTTTGGGGGCAACTTTTTGTTTCCGACTGGCTTCTTCAGGTGCTGCATCTGAATCTGATATCAAATCGAAAGGATTGAATTTGTTCACAACTGAAGTGACTGCACTCAATGGATTAGCTTCTGAGAGAAAACTGGGCATCATACTTGGCTTCTGATCTTCTTTAAAATCAGTCCTGGACTTTGATTCCCTTAGACTAATAGAAGAAGGGCTCCGTCCTGGTGCCCGTTGTTCTGTCTTCAGCACATCTACTGTTCGGCTTTTACTTAAAGTTGGTGGTCCCGGATCTGGAGGCTTACCTGGTTGCCTGGGATGGTGGCTTGTATCAAGCTCAGGATGCCTGCAGACAAAAAATGTAATAAAATTAAAATAATGCAGAGTACTAGAAAAATTAGATACAATATGATGTATCTGTGACCCTAGAAGTGCTCTGGTAACACTGTGAAGTTTCTGAAGTGCTTAAGTTTTTGTGAGACCAAGGTTTATATTATAAGTTGCATATAAAATGTATTTAAATAAAAATTATTGTTCTATAACGGCTTATCCAAGTATTCAGACATAGACTAATTTATTATTTAGAAAATAATTTAATACAATAACAATGTTTAACCAGATAATTTTCTCTTCAGAAATCTGAAGTACTCAAAGCTACAACTTCCCGTTTTACCTAAATCCAAATGACTGGCTAACTCTATCCCTTGAAATACAAACATATGGAGACGGAGAAGACTAAAAGAAACAGAGGTGTCAGAAAACTAGCAGATCAAAGCACAGCCATACAAGAAAAACACTGCATAAAACAAAGTATTTATGTACTTGTGTTTTGGCTACTTGTACAAAGTATGGATCTATTTATAATTCAATATGCAGCAGGGACTTAAACTCTTAAAATCCAGTTAAGGACTACATGCTTCTTTTTAAAGTATTTATTTTGCCACCCATTCACTTACAAAACAGAAGAATTTTCAATCAGATAAAACAGATTCCAGTTCACAGAATTAATCTTAGAGCTTTTTATTTTTTAATTTTTCAGCAGAACTACTAGAGTTCTTCCTCTCAGCATCATCTCAACAATTCACACTGCCCATCAATATAAAGAAAATCTCTCATTATATAGGGATTTTTTCCAATTCTCTAACAACAATATTTTGCTGTGTTTTCATATAGAAGAAAATAAAACTAAGAATGTCGGAACCAAAAATGAAGATCATATCTTCATACATGGCACAGTATTCTAGTTATTGCTATACTCAGCTGCAGCTGGAGGAAACAATAATGTATTCAACGATATTGCTACAGGATGTAGCAAAATATTCTATTCAGTGCTATAACTCTGCTTTTGCTGGAAGACATGGTATTCTCTTCAGTGCCACAACAGCATTACAAATATAAAATGTTCAGTTTTCACTTTGAGAGATCCAGTTAACTGTGATCTTGTCTTTACAGACATGACATTTCTTCCTGGGCATTAATGAGCAAAACGAACAATTGTTCATTACATTTAACTGTATGCCTTAACTGAAAAAAAAAAAAAAAAAAATGCACAATTCTGTTTAAGAGGTTTATCAAAAGTCTGCAGAATTATATATAGTACACACATTGAAAAATGTATCTCGCACTGTTAATGTTACCATGGGCTTATTATTATTTCTGATTAATATTTAGAGTTTACATTACATACCTGCCAATGGCAATATAAAAGGAAACAGTGAAGTGGTACCCATTTCTGTGCTCATAATTCTCATGAGATGGGATTTTCTCATAATGTTCTACCTGATTTTTTTGTAAATTAAAAATTTCCACATGAAATGTTTGTTAAAGACAAACTATTTCCAGGGTTCCATAATTCCATTTACACTTTCCCATTCTTGTAAAATTATTGGCCATAATACTGGGAAGTTCACAACCTTAATGTCCAACCCACTGATGTGAGTAGGTGTGTCTCCACTGGCGTCACTGAACATTGATTAACTCGTTACTCAAAATAGGATAATTCAGAAAATCCCAATGATAATCTAATTCCTTCAAATATTTGGCAGTCTTACTTGTGATAAGAATAATTTTATACTCTCATTAGCAACTAGGTAAGCCTATCTGCAGTTCTGTTTCTTGTCATTTAGGTAAGCACTCTGGGTTTATCTGAAGTACGGCCTACTAAATGAAGTCATTTCAACTAGTCTATTAGTGGCAGTCTGGTACATTTCTAGCATTCACGTTTGCAAGTGTTCAGAATGTTGGAAGGTTTCATTCAACAGTGCTACAAATGACAAGCTTAAAAAAGAAAAGGATCAATGGTACTATTAAAACTCAGGCTGGGAAACAGAGTACCATGCCCCAACTTTACAATGTGAAGACGAGAAGAAAAAAAAACAAAAAAAAAAACAAAAAAAAAAAAAAAAAACAACAACTAACCGTTGAACCCTATAGAAACAGAATTTTCCTCCAGCTTTCATTTTATCAAAATAATGTGTTCTATAAATTTCCACCTGATCAGATGTCAAGACTTGAAATGAGATTAAAACCCATGAATCTAGGAAATAAAGCCAGGTGACTCTACAAGGCTGCTGGTGTATTCTGAAGACCAGATTTGTCTTGCCTTTATATATAACAGCATTTCTAAGCAATGGAGACAGAGTGTGGTTAACTAGTAGAAGAAAAAGATTTGAAAAGACAAGCTTCTTGAGAAATGTTACCTCTATCAAAAGCTAGGACTTGCTCCATTTAGTTTTAGGTAGCTGGTAGTTGGAGCCTTCTTTTCTAGAACTATTTTACAGCCAGCTATAGACAGACATTGAACAATTTTAATTAACCTGGAGAATCAGAAATCCTCAAAAAAAAAAAAAAAAAAAAAAGTCTTTATTTGAGAAGACTTTTCCTATTTTTAAACCTTCTGAATCATGGAAAACCCACCGTTGTATTAAAGTCTTCAATCCAGACTCAACAAGCAAAATCATATATTCCTCCCTCATCTAGTTCTTTCTTTGTGCTTTGTTTCTCCTCACTTTAGCCTTGATTCACAGAACTCATCTTTATTCATTTACATGAATATTACAGCCAAATCAAAGCTTACTTTGGAGTCAAGAGGAGATTTAACAAAATGACTATTGGTCTAGTTCTTGAATGTCATAACTATAAAAACCTATTTAAAAAGTCCTGTCTTTGTCCCATTCATCAGTATAAATAAAGAGAAGTGCAATAACTGCGCAACTCCAAGACAGTTAGATCTTTTCACATCTACAGACAAGATATGTATAAACTTACACATACCCCTAGTGGCTAACTTTTTTTTTAAAGTCAATAGAGTGATGGCATTAATAAAAACACATATTTCTTCTGGAAAATACACTATAAACATACTCTATAAGTGTGACACTCAGTAAGACTTCTTAGCACATCCTCTCAAAATGCAGCATTTTTTTTTTTTTCTGTTAAAGTTTATTCTGAGCAGCTTAATGAACTGGGAAGAACAAAAAAAAACACCCATCTGCATCAGATGGTTCATATATTCAGCTTGGTCATCTAATCCTTTCAGATGATGTGGAACAATTCCTCAGCAAGTGGACACTGACACAGTTACAGAGTCATTCAATGAAGTTAGAACAACTGGAACTTGATTACAAATTTACTGTGTACATTTTACCTAAACTTCCTAATCACAAGTTTTCTGAAGGCAGGTAATTGAAATAGGATAGAGTGATTTCCATAGGTGCTAAGCATCTCAAACTGACTGGAACCTAGAGAAAATGTTAAAAAAAAAAAAAAAAAAAAAAAAAAAGTACATTTGATTTAGGCAGTTCCCTTTTAGGTGCTCTAGATCTAAACTCTTATATTAAAATGAATAATAAATATTAATTGCATTTATTTAGCTATTGCATTTTTGAAGACTTAAAAGGTCGAAACGTATAGAAGCCCTAGAATCTAGTCTGTATTTTATGGTGTTAAAGGCGCAACTATGTTTCCTGCTACACACGTTGCCTACTACTACTTACTAAGTATGTAGTTGCAAAAATTGTTACATTGGGATATCATCAATCATGAGGAATTTGTACACTTTAAGATTTGGGTTAGTTTGAGAGGGGAATGAAAGTATTTAGAATAAGAAATAATTATTAGCTTCTCAGGTAAGACTGTCTAACACCTAATGTTACAATGGAAATCACAGAGGAAAAATCCAGTTAACAACATAAAAAAACCTAACAAACAATAGGGACATTGTCATAATGCAAGGCTACAGAAACTAGAAGCCAGAGTTCCTCTTTTGATCTTTGGCCACACTGAATGAAAAAAAAAAAAAAAAAAAGCTTGAATATAAGGAATCTGAGTCTCAGCAGGCTAGTTCTTTACTTAAGTTGAACTCTGAAAGAGGCTGATCCTTAGTTCTTGACAGAGTCTTACTCCAAAGGTTTTGATGGGGTTCTTACTAATTGTTCCCATCATTCTTGGTAAATCTCAGTAGCAAAGAGAGGTGTGCAAGAGAAGCAAGTAAAGCCACAAAACATGAGCAGAGAGAAGTACTAGAAAGATACAAAGATGCTATAATAGAAACTGTTACAACCCCACATGAGAAGATAGTTGACAAGTTATTGTATTGAATGTTAAAATGTCAACTTTGACTAAAAGGTAAAAGTCTGTAATTCACAAATATAGAGTGCCTTTACTTTAAGTGTAAAGTGAAAGTACGGTACACTAACAAGATCAAAGTAGTTTCTGATGTCATAAATATGTTTGTAGGAAAGCAGCCATTTATAAATATAGAAATATTTGCATTGCAATGAGTTTAGACTATTCTACAATCTTCCAATGACACTGATCTTCCTTTTTACTGGAACATTAGCATGAAACAATAAACTTTTAAAGTCAATGAGTCTTTTCTCATAGACTGCTATACAAAACAGAATTCTGAGCTTAGTTTCACAGAACTATTATGACTCTTTTTCTCATTAACATCTACAGAAGCTAGATAGAGCCTTGAACTGAATGGAAAATTATAATTTATATACAGTGTTAATACCTATTTAATAATTTTGCAAGACATAAAATAAGAAGATTTTATCTCCAGTTTTAAAAAATGGAGACCATCATCTCAGGTATAATCCCAGTGACTTCAGTAGTTTGCCCAAGGATGAATTTGGTCCCACCCTCCTTGCTTCTCTTCCTCTACAATTCACTTATATAAACCTGATATTATATAAACTCAACATGCATTTACCAAGGGCGAGGCCAACACACACCAACCGTGTTGAAGAGTCAGTCGAGGACGCTCCTTTCAGCGTCCGCCTTCGAGCCAAGCGGCGCCGGCAGCGCCGGGCCCGGGCGGGTTCAGGACCACGGACAGCGGCACGGGCCGAGGCGCCGCGGGCGGGGGGTACACGAGCCCGGCCGCCACAGATCCGCGCCCTGGTAAAGCCACCGCTACCCCCAACACTGAACCCCGTAGCAATCATTTTAACCTGTTAACCCGCCTCTCTTTCCCCTTTCACCAAAAAAAAAAAAAAAAAAAAAAAAAAAAAAAATGGGAAGAAAAATAAGGAGATAAAAATAGACTGAAGCAGACCTCCTCAATTGCATGACTATTTAATGAAGCCAAATGATAGTTGCAGAGGTTAAGAATTGGCAGAGTGATGGCTAGCAAATGCATTATGCCCAAAAGCTGTGACAGGTTCAACAAGAATCTTCTTCTCCAAGAAGGGAGGCTGACAGAACCCATCAGCCCTGGGCAGAGCTTCCCTGGCTACTACCCGAGCTGTGGGGGACTCCAGCCCCGTAAAGCACACACACACACACTCACAAAACCGAAACGTTGTCTGAAAAATCTCTCCCCTCCCCAGACACAGAAACTCCCCGCGCTCCGGATCGGCGCGAAGGGAGGGAAGGGGAGAGGGCGCAGCCCACCGGAACCGAGCACCGCCGTTATTATTAGAAACCACCGGAGCGGGAAAAGCTGGTGGGTGCAGGCTCCGTCCCACTGTCCGCACCCGCGCAGCCGCCCCCCCTCCCTCTCTCAGCCAGCACAGCGCAACGACCGCTCCCCACGCAGCGCGCCCGGCCCGTTCCGCGCCTCGCCCCCCGCCCCACCGCGCGGAGCCGGGGAAGGGAGGAGCGGGAGAAGGGAGATTTTCCGTGCGTGCCTGGGCAAGGGAGGCGGCTCCACGCCGGCGAGGTTCCCTCCGGGCAGCCCCTGCGCCCTTGACATGACAGCGGCGATCTGCCTCCTCTCCTCCTCGCTCAGCTGGCTCAGGTCCGCCTCCACCCCGGCCGGGACCAGGCGCTGCACGGGGGTCGCGGGGCCGCCGCCATCCCCGGCTGCCGCCGCCCCTTCGGAGAAGGCGCCCAGCCCTTCGCCTCCTTCCAGGCTCGCCTCGTTGCCCATGGCGGCCGCCGCCGCGGTTCCCTGCTCGCCGCCTCTCTCCTCAAGCGCAGACCGGGCGGCGGAGGGGGCGGTTGGCCGGCGCGCAGCCCCGCTCCTCAGCGGCAGGCGGAGCGCCGAGCGCTCGCGGCTCCGCAGCCGCCACCAGACCGCGGCCCCGGGCGGCGGCGAGGGGGGGGGCCCGGGCTCGGCGGGGGCGGGGGCCGGGCTCTGTGGCTGCTGCCGCCGCGGCTGCCGGGGAAATGCGGCGCCGCCGCCCGCCCGTCGCGCCGCGCTCCACCGCCCCGCGCAGCACAGCGCATGCTCCGGGCGGGCATTTCCCACCTCCCCCCCCGCCCTCCGCGCCTCGCCCCGCCCCGCGCCCGGCCCTTAAAGGCACCGCTCACGCCCCACCACGGCTCCGCCGGGGGCTCCGCACCGCTCCACGCAGGGAGTGGGCGGGTCGCGGCGGTGCTCCCGGCGAGCACTGCCTCCCCCTGCTCCTTCCCTTTGCAGGTCAGGATGTGCTCGCCAGCAGCCAAAGCTCAGACGGAGCCTGGCTCGCCCGGAGCACGGGAGGCTGGAAGGCGCCTCTGGAGGACCCATCCAAGCAACACTCTCGGAGCAGGGCCAGCGAGCTCGGGTGGCTCAGGGCCATGTGCGGCCGAGTTTTGAATGTCTCTATGGATGGAGATTTCACAGCCTCCCTGGGCTCCTGTCCCAGCGGTTGGCCACCCTCATGGTGACCGGCTCATGTATGTCAGTGTCATTCCAGCACTGGTGAGCCCCAAACTGGACACGGTGCTCCTAATGCAATCTCGCAACTGCTGAATATGTTGAGAAGAATCACCTTCTTTAACCCGCTGGCCGCACTTGAGGTAGCACAGCCCAGTCTGCCATTGGAATTTTTCATCGCAGCGGCATACTGCTGAAACATCTTCTTCACCTTCTCATCCACCACGACTTTTTCTGCAAAGCTGCTTTTGGGCCAGTCTGTCCTGGTGCATGGAGATATTCCTCCCCAGAGAACTCCGCACTCGCCTTGTTCAACTTCATGAGGTCCCTGCCAGCCCATCATCCTGCCTGTCAGGGGTCCTGCAAGCCGCAGCCCTGCTTTTAAGTGCATCTGCCATTCTCTGAGCCGGCATCATTCACAGTCTTGCTGAGGGTCTATTCCATGCCTTTGCCCACATCATTAACACAGACATTGAACGTTATTAGTTAGAAAGGTACAGCTATTAACATACCACCTCTTGGACTTGAAACAACTCACCACAACCCGTTTGAGCCTGACAGTTCAATCTATTTTTCACCCACTGTACAGGTCTCACTAATTCGACTATAAGGATGCTCATACTGGAAGCCTAACAGAGTGTGATTTGCCTGGGGTAAATACGTGCTGTCTGTGTCCAATAACCTTCCTGTCCTTTATCTACTTGGAGATGACTTGCAGGAGGATTTGCTCTGTAACCTTCCCAGGAAGGGTATGAGTGACATTAGCCTAACTGCCTTGTAGCTCTCCTTGGATCTCCTTTCTTGCACACAGGTTCAGTGTTTTACCTTCCTCTGGTCATGATGGAACTTTCCCAATGACCTTTTGAAGATGATAGAGTGACTTTGCAATAGCATCAGCCAGGTGCTTCAGCGCCTTTTGGTCCACCCCACCTAGTCCCATGAGCTTCTGCATATCCAACTGCTTTAAGTTCTCTCTGTCAGCCTTACTCTACTACAGGTCATTCTTCACTCCCACATACTCTGATGCTCAGCTCAGGGGCCTGGGAGACTTAAAGACAAACCTTACCCTTAAAAGCCATGGCAAAGAGCCACTAAGTACCTCAGCCTTTCCATGTCCTTGCCACCAGCTTTCCTATCTCACTGATCAGGGGCCAAATTTTTCCCAGATCCTTCCTGGCAATCTTAGCAGATTGTGCCTGTAGTTTGAATATTCCAGTGTGTCTCTTAAACAGCTAGATCCTTACAGATATTGGTTGTTTTAGCTACAGGGATGTGACAGCATTTCATGCTTTTGCTTGCCTTCTTCTGTAGCACCATTACTATTTTTCTCCAGACACAGCTGTATGCAGATCAGTCCCCCAAATGACCTACATAAAGATGCCATCCAAATATTTATAGTATTCTTGTATTGTAACAATCAGACACCATTTTTTTCTAGTTCTGGTTCATGAAATATGATGAAACTAGTAGCAGTTGGGGGCTTCCTACTTTTCTCTCAAGTGACTGTAAGTTACACATCAAAATAACAGCTCGTCAGAGAACATAATAAAGCACAGAGGGAAAATCCTTAAACGGAGAAGCATGACATGAGCGTAAGCGGGATCATGTTCACATGATGTTCTCAGTAAAGACATCAAAGGAACCTGTGGAAGAGGTGACACACAACACATCCACACCTGAGCAAAGGTAGATTCTCTTGGCATGTGAAGGAAAGACAAAAATTTCAGTTCAGGGTTTTAGAGGGAGACAAATACACATCCCTATGCATTTAGCACAAGCGAACTTCATATACTTAAGTATGAATAGATGTTGAAAGTGCTGCTGCATGGGAGAAGGCAAATGCACAACAAAGATGGGGCAAGAGGGATTTAATCAATGAAAGCATTTGGTTTTCTGATATATACTAATGTAAGCATTCATATGCACTTCAATATACATATATACCTAATATTCTGTGGAGGGTGGTATTCCTGTCCTTTAGCTGGGTAGTCTGGAAGTTTAAGTTCCCAATTGCAAATTTTCTAAACAAACAAACCCCCTATGTTTCTTTATTCAGAGACAAATAAATAACTAGGGCTTTTGACTCAGACCTTGAAGTCATCTTATGTTTAAAAACAGATGGCATATGTCAGATATAGATGAAGACAAAACAAGTGAGATCAAAACACATTACATTCACTCAATGAAACAATTAAAACTGGGGAAAGAGCAGTTCTGCTAGTGCTTACTGATCAAAACTACATACACTGTTCCCATTTCACTGTTAACATGTCCTGAGATAGAAGATAGGAGGAGGAAAGAGACATATAATGCCTGAGGAAGTAAACTGAGACCAAATGGAGGCACAGGATGAGAAATTACTTTCAGTGAGAAATTCACTATTGACTTCAGTGGAACCATGCACAGCACCTGAAAATTATTATGATTTCAAATATCTTAGGGATTTTTGTGGAAACTGGCTCTTTTCACAGTTCTGTGACATTTACCTTTTTCTTATGAAACAGCGTGAAATCAAGTTATCTGCTCCAGAAGTCCCACTGCAGGCCTGTTTTTCCTAAATCCCATCATTTCCACATCTTTTTCCCTATATACTTCACAGTCTGTCCAAAAGTGACACCAACTCTCTCATTTTGGTGTTACGAATGAAACTCTCAAGCTAATGAGACATAACATTCTGTTGTAGCAAGGAAAGAAGAGTTATCAAATGAATCAGCCTTTTTCCCAAAAGTGACTTGCAAGAAACAACGTGGTGGTATCAGGCTAAATCCCCTTATTAAAAAAAAAAAAAAAAATATATATATATATATATATGTATTTCTTAATCACTAGCAATGAAAAATGTGATTAAAAAACTTCAGAGATAAAACAGTCTTTCAAAAAATGCATGTAAATTAGAATTCTCTGTGTAAATTTAGAGTCAGAGATATAGAAGCAAGTTGCCTTCCCTTAGATCCTAGATAGTATAAAAAGGATAATCATGAACAGAGGCAAATCCAGCTACTCTTTGAGGGCTCGATTACAGATTTTATAGCATTTTCACTGTATCTGTTTGAATCCAAAATAGATCAGCACAACCCACAAATATATTTTACAACGTTAAGTCCATGCATGTTATTATTATCCCTGCAAAACAAAGGCAGGGCATATTTGAAGTGATATAATTTCATTCAGACTAAGGACTGCTCTGCACCAGTAACACAGTACTTTCATCTGGACCTGACCAATTTGGTATGCAAGCTAGATGCATCAGATCCCCAAAAGGGCCAGTCCAAGTTAGAGCTGAGTAGGCAGAAGCAGCAGAAGGATGCTAGTTCATCTTTTGACAGTGCTGAATCTGATCTGGGACAAGTGAATCTCAGTTAAGAGTGTATCTTCAGCACTAAAATGAGTGCTTGAAGTTAATTTACTGATTAACAACACTGAAGACATCCAATCTTCTCATCAGTAGGCTACTTAGTATAGATGTACTCTTTACATGTTAAAGGGGAGAAAAAGCCATTTAGTGCATAGAAATTGAAGAAGTAATGCTAAGATTATCAGAAGAAAGGAATAAGAGGTCAGTAACACCTTGACACGAGTGGGAAAACGGGAGGGGAAGGAAAACTCTTATATTTTAATAATATGCCTGGCATTATGCCCAGATAAAAGTAAAGGAGGAAGAAAGTGTGTTAATCATTAGCAATTAGCAGAGGTTGTACTGATCAGTACCACAAAGGAAGGTAAAGTTAAAGAGGAGATAGAATTTGCATAAACATATTTATAACACTTTACACATCAATGTTTTCATATTCTAATTCTTACAAATACCTAGCTAAATGTTACAGTGTCCCTATCACATTTACCTACCCCATTTCAGGGATACAGAGAGTGTGGAGGGTACTTTGAGTTTAAAAGACATGTACAAGATGCTTCCAACAGTTCAGTCCATCTGCTATACAGAATGAGCAATGCTTCTTAATGATACCTCTTTCCAGACAGTTAAAACAATACATTCCCTAAATATATTTATACACATAAAAATAAAGAAAAATATGGAATACCATAGTACAGTCAGTTGCACAACTATGCTTGCTGTCCTCTTTGTTCACCATCTCAGAATGCAAGTGAGCATACTGCACCAGAGAATAAATGGGGGACACACCAAAATCATGTTGAATCAATATACTGAATGGTATTCATCCAATACAAAAAAACTGATAAAGTTTTTTAAAGCGTGAAATAAAAGGGTATGAATCTCTTTTCTGGAAAAATGTTGCACCACACCTAGGAAGTAATAATTTCAAATATGACATAAATTATATCTATATGAGAGCATAAGGCAAAAGTACATAATGCTTTAAACTACACGTTAGCATGTGCACTTGTATATGCCACTGGTGCACAAGTGTACTAGGCAGCTCCCTGGTGCAGGTTATATGAACTATCTATTAAGGAGC